CCTGCTTTTTATTTCATGCTGCACCTATTTCTTTTATATCTTAAGATATGAAAGCCATCTCTTAAAAAAAATCTTCAAAGCCTTCTATCCTGCATACCCTTACAGAATCCTTATATCATCCAACAAAAGCACATGCTCAAGCTTCTGCCAAGAGTCAGTACACTAACTTCACATTCAACTTCAGTATAGGGACAAGCATGCCCATAAATAAACAAGTTATTTTGTTTTCTGCAAACAAACACCAGGGAGAGTAACTATGACTTGAGAAGCAGAATGAAAGAATGCAGTGGGATGCTGCATGCAACTTAGCAAACCTTGAGGGACAGGCCTGTGTACAGTAACAGTTAGAAATAAAACACCATTAGAGCTTATTTAACTTAAGGCCAACTGATGAAAAAGTACATTGAAAGTCATTTCCCCACAGTCCCTAGGTAAAAAAAGCAAATAACTTGTAAAGGCAGTGAAGCCCTACAAAAATTTTAGTGTGTGTCTGTTTAATTAGGCACAGGAACAAAAGGCTATTAAAAACTCACTGAAACATGCATCAAACAGGCTGTGTCTACATCCATACACTACAGTTCCTATGATAAAGCCACCACTTAGACAAGCCCAAAGCATTCTTGTTAGTAATTAATGGCTTAGTTCTTTAACATTAAGCAAAAATACCATCTGAGTTCAATCAGCACCAGTTGCACTTCTACACTAGAAACACCTGAAGCACTGTATTGACTCGGATACTGCTGCTCACTTGGCCTTGCAACTCCATCCTCTGTTCAACAACAGAATATGAGGAAAGTGCTAAAGGGTCACAGCAGGTAAATCAGGATGCTTTATTGGGCCCAACACCACAATGGAGTTTTAGCCACATAATTTAACTTTAGTGCAACAAACAGAACCTGAAATTTATGAGCAGTCCTTAAGCAACAAACACTTTCCTGACAAGCCAAAACTACAGCCATGGAAGATGTGCAAGGCTGTGTTATGACTGTTTCGATACCGATAAGCATTTTCAGAAGAGCAGAACTCTAAGAATTGTATGAGACCAACTTCAGAGTTTTATTTTCTGCCTAATTATGACATAACTAAAATGTAAAAATTGGAATTTTGAAAGTGGGGAGTAATGATTCAGCTCTTGTGAAAGAACTTATCAGCATGAAATCTTTCTTCTGGAAACCACTACCACAAAGTGCTCCATTAACCAAAAAGTCATTCCAGAATCAAGCTGTAACTCCAGAACAGTGTTCACATTGGAAGGTTATTTCAGAGAAAAAATAAGTAATTTTACCAAGTAGTAAAAACAGTAGCCAATTACTACATATTAAACATATCAGTTCTGTAGCTTCTTGCTGTAAAGAAAGAGACTGCCAGCAAAGATAATTCTTCCTTTCCATGAATTCCAAAGGGACTTTGGCTAATGACTTTCCACATTTTCAATAGCCATCAAGGTTAAGCAATATTCTAAGAGATTGCTTTTATGCTTTCCTCTTTTGGCATTTCCAGGGAAGAAGGCCCTCACCAATTAGCATTCTAGTTTACCCTATTTTGCTCCAAGGGCTTCTAGATTATGACCAACACTAAGCAAATGAAGTCTGCTATGTTTACATCACTTTCAGGTGCAAATGGCAGGAGTATGTTAAACAACAGCCAATCATTCTTCAAAAAAACCTCTGAAGCAGAGTGCCTGAGCTGAGCATATCACTTGTCCCCTAAAAGCTTTACAATAGAAGGAACATGGAATAGATCCTAAAAAAGTATTAACTGCATTTGATAGAATAAATCATATTTTTAGTTTATATCAAGATTAGATACTTTGTGTTTCTATTTCATATGTAATGCAATATTCACTGGATTAAAAGTAAACAGTTACACATATATAAATGTTACAAGGTTAAGCAGTTCATAAGGAATCATGTCTTCCTCCCCTTCCCCCCAAGTCCCCACTGACAATTGTGAAATACCAGTTTTGCAGATAGACAGTATTGCAAGTTGTTGCCTAACAAAGTTGAGTAGTTGTCTGCAGAAAAAAAAAATGCATTTACTAAGTGCTGTAGTATTTCCACTTGCTTCTCGGACATTATACTTGCATCTTGGTAATCTGTTGTTTGCATTACAGCAGCAAAACTATAGAGAGGGTAACTGGACTTGGCTCTAATCCCCTCTATATTATTTAAGGAAAGAAGCCTGTAATTTAAGCATTTCTTACCAATGGAATCCATCCTACTGAACAATGAGCAATGAACATTTCTCAATACCAAGAGCAACTGCAAAACTAACAATCCATTTACCTACAAGGGGCTAAGACACATTCATGACCATGAAATGCAAGCTATTGTGCATTGCTACTGCTCAGGTGTATATTTGACCTATTTTGTTTTGAGCACTAAGTTGGATCAGATGACCTCCAGATGTTCCTTCCACCCTAAATTATTCTATAACACAGTTTTGGTATATTGTTTAAGAGTACTCTTGCAAATCAATGCATTTCAATGCATTTACATTTTCGTAAGCATAGAGGAATACGCAAGATCACTGCTTATCAATCTCCTGACTTAGTGCTCATCTTCCAGGGATGTATTTCTCAAGGTATACACAGCAGCAGTGGAGCTTTCAGAGATTCTCAACTGTCTTCCACTCCAGTGCCTAACAGCTCCCTTTATATTCCAGAGCAGGCCCCTCACTGTTTCTATGATACAATTACTCACATTCAAGAATTAATTTGATAATCAACACTTCTTTCAACTACTCATCATTATGGCTTGTAAAGTAACCCTGCATTTCAGTGTAAAATATCAGCCTAAGGATTCCCAGCCACTAGTTCAACTATATTTCTCATGAGATGAGTCTACCAAGGCCAGTAATGACTGGGGAATTCCACTTGCCAGAGATACCTCCAGCCTGAGTTCATGGACAATACTACAACATACAGTGCTCCACTGTCCTCAGGGAGGCAGCAATTCCTGCCACTTTTGAGGCATGCACTCCCACAGTAGGGAAGCTCAGAGGTGTCCCTGACTTAGAAGTTTCAAAGTAACTCTGCCCAGCTAGAGCACCCTTCAGTGTCTGTAGTTTTTGCTCTATCACCTGCCAAACCTACCAGGAGGACATACATCATGGCAATTTAGTGTCACCACCTTGTACAGATGAAAGAACAAACAGGTATTTCTCGCACACTTGGCTTTCACTCAAGTATAACACTGTCTCATGCAGAAGCATTCTTATTTTAAAAGTTTACAGTTATGAGTGCACTAGTCTTAGCAGATAGTTAATTTTATTTATAAACACATTTATAATGACACATTTTGGATTGGTGCTGATAGCACAGGGATGTTTTAGTTATTGCTGAGCAGTGTTTACACAGCATCAAGGCCTCGTCTGCTTCGCACACCGCCCTGCCAGCAAGTAGATTGGGGGTGCACAAGAAGTTAGGAGGGGACACAGCTGGGACAGCTGACCCCAGCTGACCAAAAGGATATTCCATACCATACAACATCATGCTCAGCAATAAAAGCTGTGGAAAGGAGAAGAGGGGGACATTCAGAATTATGGTGTCTGCATTCCTAAGTAGCAGCTATGCTTGATGAAGCTCTGCTTTCCTGGAAATTGCTAAACACTTGCCTGTTGGTCGGAAGTAGTGAATGAATTTAGCTTTACTTGCATATGCAGTTTTCGTTTTACCTATTAAACTATCTTTATCTCAACCCACAAGTTTTCACACTTCTGCCCTTCTGATTCTCTCCCCCATCTCACTGAGGGGGAGTAAGAGAGCAGCTGGGTGGTGCCTCCCTACCTACCAGGGTTGACCCACAACTCAGAGCATGTGAACAAATTCACCATTAGACATGTAAAACAACCTACACTTTCCTTTCCCTTAACTTCAGTGAGTTCCAATGGGCATGGAGGAAGCTGCAGTTAAATCAGAGCCTCATACATCATTTCTATTCAGTAAAGGTTACAGTTCTACTGTAAGAGTAGATCACTCACTTCTACCAACATCTGAAAACAAACTCAGAAATAGCTGCTGTGAAATAAACCATCTACAGCAGCTCCCAGAAAGGCAATTTAAAGCAAAAGTCATTTCTTCACCCTCCTTACTACTAGCTAATGTTCACAGATTTTATGCTTGGCCAAGGCCTGGGTATTTACTGTCAACTAATCTGAAGCCACATACAAGATCAGGCTTTCTGAAAAAAAAACAAGAAAGATGTTCATTGCTCCTACCAACAGCTGCACTCCCCATCCAAGCCATCTTGCTGCACAAAACATCTGTCTCCCAAGTAGCAAAGTCACCCAACAGAGATTGCTTCAAGCCACCCTCCACATTCATAATGCCACTCATCAGGACAGCAGCAGAGCAGTCCTCAGCAAGTAAGTCTTCTGTCCACCCCCTGCCTACCAGCACTGTTTTCAGCTTGATCAGAAGTCATTAACAGGGACTAGAGATAACTATGCCAACTGGAATAGTTAACTGGAGATAATTATTCCAAAAGAACAATTATAGGCAGCAGGAAGGTTCCTTAGATGTTAAAGTAGTATTGTGGAATAAAATTTAAACACCCTAGAAATCCTCCAGCAAGGAGAACAGATGGCCTTTCTAAAGTTTTCATGTACTTGAGAACATCTTTAAAGTAAGATAAAGGCAATGATGTTTACTATGTCACTTGGGTCCAAGCTGTCAGGAAGAAAAGTGAAAAAAATTTCCAGGCCACTGCAAGACTTAACTCAGTGAAGGCCTTCAACTGCTTTAAGCATGCCCAGAGGGGAAAGCAGCAGCATCTGTAACAGATTTTTAGAAAATGCCCAGTGCACACTATAAATATGTCTTCCCTCCTTGTGCTCCTCACCCAGCCACTGATAACTGTTTCCTTACCTTAAAAAAAGTCCAGTATCTGGCAATCCAGGCAAACCTTAGAGACAAAGACAATCAAGTATTCCAACTGCTCCACCATGGCACTCAGTGACTAAAAAGAAGCCTGACTACAGACCATTTTAGCAGCAGTCAGTGATGCAGAACACACCAAGTTAACTCACCTTGAAAAATGCAAACCACTTGTAGCCATTTATCACAACTTCAAAGCCTTGATTGTAAATCAAAGTGAAGAAACCGTAGTTGCCCAGACTATCCTGAGCTACATCTAACTTCTGAAGATTCACAAGCACCTTTCTTTCCACAGGCCCTGCAAGAAATACAAACATTATTGCATGATTATTGTGTGAAAGAGATAAAAATAAGAAATAAGCACAAAGAATGTTCTAACATCTATTTTATTCCAAAAGATGCTAAAATACACTTGCTGAATACAGTTTTCTGTAAAAAGGCATCAAGCAAACACACTTCAGGGACTTCACTTACCTGTCAGTCTACACACTCATTTTTTCCCCTGCTAGACAGTATTCACACATTTAATTAGAAACAACAGCAGCACCAAACAGCTGCTAATGGGAAAAAAATTCAGCTTATTTAAATACAACTTGCTATACAGGACTCAGACGCTGTGTCATTCGGGCACTGCATCTGCAATGACAAGTTTTCTCCTACAACATCTGGGGTCAGGCATCAGCCACCCCATGGTACTTCACACCAGTGCTCTGACACCCTCCACCGCTGACCTCACCTCCACTGCTCCGACCTGCCACATGCCCCAAATGATCAAAAAGCACATGATTTAGAAAGATGCAAAGTATCAACTATTTTTTAAATAATACCGACAAATAAGAATCAAATAATAACTCCTTGCTATTGAGGGATATTTCTGCTTCTCCTGGCGCTAGCAGGCTCCCTAAGCAAGCTCCCACAGCTAGTGGCCTCCCAGGAGCCGAGGAGGTGCCACCCAGAAGCAGACCCACACTCTTTTGGTGGGAACAGCCACTCTCAGGCCTGGCTGAGCTGAAAGGGAAGGTACCTGTGGGCTGGAAGGGGGGAAGAAGTGACCTGGCATGGTGGTGCTCATGAAGAGGCCTAACTGGGTCCAAAACGAAACAAAAATAACCCTAAAAAACCGAAGTGGAAGAGTAACAGGGTCACCCACAGTAGTCACCAAAGCCAGACTAACACGACTGCTTCACGCTGCTTAACTCAAATTAACCTTTTTCTACCTTTATCCCGGCAGGGAGCTGCACAAAAGCCGGCAGCGCGGGTCCCACCTGCTACAGCCCAGAGAGGCACCGGCTTTGCTTTT